CTGCACGCCGGAGGAGAATGAGGAGAATGTGCACTGGGCACTGCAGACTTTGCCGGTGGAGCTTCTGGACGCCCGGGAGCAGGCACTGGCTTTTTGTGTGGAGCTGGGCACCAGTGGTATCCAGCCCTTCAATGAGCTCTCCCGTTCCTCTTCGGAGTCTGCGCAAGCTTATAACTATACAAATCAGTTTGCCATCTTTTTCAACCCTTCGGTACATGGGAAGTTCACTAAATAGGGCCCCGTCTTTCTTGGGGTCCTTTTTACAAGGTGCCGTTTGCTACGGGGCACCGAGTCCACATGAAACCCACCCGAAAACTTGAGAGGCGTTCCAGCCCGAGCAGAAGGGCAGCACCATTCTGGCGGGACTGGCGGGTTGCGACCTGACTGAGAGCCCCGGCTCCAGTGGAAACATCAAAAAGTGATGGTTGCGGGATATTGCGGGGTCTGTTTCAACTTCCAGCTTGGGACGTTCCCCCCTTATGCTGACGGTCCTTAAGTAGGGGGTAGTATATTGCCTATCAAGGACTGTTCGTATAAGGCGGAACATCCCCACTTCCAGCTCTTCCCTTTTGTGCTTGCTTTCTACTTGCGGCTGGTCTTGCAGCGAGTTTGCCGGCACTCATACTCCCCGAGTGCTCGCCAGGAGCCAGCAGAAACAGGTGCTCCGGTTCGACCCACGATATTGGGATTCAGGTGGGGCCCTGCTGTGCGACCTTGTGTCGATCTCAAGTATGGTCACTATGGTTGGTGTCTTTTGTGGCTGCTGTTCTCGTGTCTTTTAGTTGGCTCCAAGTCTTGGGGCTTACGCACTCGAATAAAACGCATCCGTGCCGGCCCAGCATGCAGACCAAATCATGAATGACCGATGACTACATCATGTCCGCTTCGCTGGCCTTTGTTGAGAAAAAGCCAAGAAGTATTGCGAAGTCCGCTGTCGTGTCGCACGCCTACTGCGACTGCCAATAAGCGCAACGTTCGCTCTTCTAACAAAACGGGGGGACCTGGTTTACAAAGTCCAGGCACTGGGTGATCGCAGCCGGGGACCCCCGAAAGGGTCCATAATTTAGTTCAATTCAATTCAGTTCAATTCATCGATTCGATTCATGCACTTCCCATGTGTGTGTTGAAGCCGGGGGAACGTGCTGGTGAGGGTCCCCTAAAGCCTAGAGCCAAATGGTCCATCGTAAAAAGCACTTGCAATCATAATCCCGCATAGAAACTCGCCCTGGACTTCAAATGAAGCCTTCAAGCTCAGAAGCCACCGACTAAACCGTAAGACTTTGTGCAAACACTCCGTAAAACCGAATATCCTGACACCTTATAAGGCCCTTTCAACCCGAAAGTTGGGATGATGGGGATGATACTAGAGCCGGGGGTACGACAATCCCTCTTAAGGATTGTTCGAAAAAAAGGGGGAACATCCCAGCGCGAAAGCCCCATGTAACTCTCAAACCCCGATCAGGCTTTTTCATTTCGAGGTTCCGGAAGACGGACTCGGACGCCTGACAAGAGGACGAAGCCAGATGTGATCCAACAAGCGTTCGGGGTTAAGGGTTAGGAGTTTAGGGTTTAGGAGTTTAGGGTTTCGGAGTTTAGGGTTTTTGGTTTGGGTAGGGTTTCGGTCACGAGGACAGCTGCTTTCGGGAGTCAAGCCGGGCGGGACACACACGCTCGTTGCAAAAGCGTTTCGGGCACGGTAGGCGCAGAGCAGGCATAGAGGTAGACAGGCCATGGGTGCATACACATATGCGTACGTGCCTGCGTACACCAGGGGGTCATTTATATACATACTTGAATACACGTGTGTTGGTTCTCCATGTCTGTTGTGCACATAAGGCATTTGCATACCGATACGTAGACCAAACCATGCGCGCACATAGACATGTGCATGCTTGCATGCCTGCGCGCCTCCATGCTAGCCATACATAAACAGACATGTGCTGTTATGCAGCAAACCCAAAGACCTAACGCTAAACCCTATAGCAAAAAAGAAAGCTAAAGCTTACGAACGCATGCAGGGTGCGGCCCGGAGCTCAACATTGATATGTGTTGTTCCTCCGTTTAGTGTCTTATCTGGGTTTATCCAGGGTGTCTGGTGGATGTGTTTAGGGTTTATGTCGTGTGTTTATTGAAGGTCTTTTTAGGGTTTCAACAAGGGGAATCGAAGGCCCTAGAAAAGCCTCAAACACCCGAAACCCCAAACCTGGGTCGTCCCAGTGTGAGCGCTTAAATCCCGAACCCCAAATCCTAAACCTAATTGGTTTGGGTGTGATACGGTGTATTATCTGTGATCCGGCGTAGTGTTTAAACTGTGACGAATGTCAAGGATGTGAGCGACTGGCTAAATCCCGCGTCTTTCTAGGTAGCTTTGGGCGGGACATGGCAAATTCACACGTCAGAAAAGAATGAGATCTCTGGGTGGGGGCTTGAGCTGAGTTTGGGTTTGCGTTGTGTTGAAGGGTATTGAGAACTTGATCGCCTGTGCTTTTGGTTGCGGGGTGTTTGTCGAGAGCGGAGAAAGAGATCTCGCAAGACGGGTGCCGGTGTAGAACCTTGACGGTAGCCCTGCGATGTGGGTTCACCCCAGCTGTGCAGAACGGAAACAAAACACCTAAACCCTAAACCCTAAACCTAAACCCTAAACCCTAAACCCTAAACCCTAAACCCTAAACCCTAAACCTTCAACAAAAAACAAACAAACCTAAATGCATCATCCTCCGGGAGTGAGGCCAGCGGAGTGAATCCACATCGTTTTTCCTTCCTGTGACACAAAGGGACCGACAAGGGCGCCCAATACCCCTTAAGGAATATGCAAGGTATACAGGGATCCTTAATGTGATTTACGGAATATTCCTTAAGGAATATACCTTAAACTATATAGGGATCCTTAGTATGATTTGCGGCATATTCCCTAATCAAGGGGTACTGGGCTTTCCGGCAAGGGTCTCGAAGGGAGACAGCAATACACCGGGGCGGTCAGAATTTTCTGCTTGATTGGTAAGAACTTCCCCACAGCCCCCCATATTCCCCCCAAGTTCCTTCAGGAGTCGGAGGGTCTTCGCTCTTTTCTAGCAGGATCCGAGAGCTGAGTCAAATCTTTACCATGCAGGTTCCAGGTCATGGCTCGCAGCTCGCTCGTTTTGTCCCCCCGGTCTCCTCAGCGGTGCGGAAATGCTGCTTGACGTCTTCCTCCTGGATTCCCAACACCCTAGCGACCACGACCGGATCAAGCCAGCACCCCGTGTCCTCCCCCTTCCTATCAACTGGCATGCCACACATTGATTGCCTCCCCGATCTAGATCAATATCAGCCTCCTCTAGTGCTGATTGCCCAGGTCCTTTAGCGACAGCAAAGCTCAGAGAGGTTACTAGACACCCACAGTTTGACCAAGGGTGGGCCTGAAAGTGCCGTTCCAGCCAGCGAGTGAAATGCAGTACAAGCTGATGCGGCAAAATGTCGTCCTAATCTTTTGTATAGAGACATCCTTCAGCAAAGAACCACCCGCCATGTGCTGAAAGTTGAAACATCTTGATCTCAGCCTCAACACCTATGTACTCTTGATATCGAATGTGATACTCCGATTCCTTTGCTTGGCTTGGGTCAAGACTGCATCTTCTGCGGCAAGTGTGAAAAAGAGGACGAAGAAGAAGAAGAAGAAGAAGCAGAAGAGGAAGAAGAAGAAGAAGAAGAAGAAGAAGAAGAGGAAGAAGAAGAAGAAGGAGGAGTAGTAGTAGTAGGAGGAGGAGGAGGAGGAGGTGCACAGGTGGTTGACGGTGTGTTTTTGTGCGTCGCTAATGTTCGAAAACACTGGCTGCCGTCACTTCAGCAACATGTACATGCTTTCAAATGGAGGCGTGTCGTGTCAGCAACACGTACATGCTTTCCGGGATGGACGTGAGATTTTTGCATGTGCGCTAAAACGCTGGCAGGCGTCCAGATCTTACCCAAACTTGAACTGCATGGATACTCAGACCTTTCGCACGCACGGGTAGCATGGACATAATCGCCGTGCGGGTGGATGCTCTGGCAAGTCATGTGTCAAACTTTACGCAAAAGGAGGCATCTGCTGAACTCTATGCAGGTCGAGTTGCGCACTGACAACACGGAGTCGAGTCATATGTAAACTCTTTGAAAAAACGAGTCATCTGCAAGATTCTGTGCAAAACGATTCGTCTGTAAAGCTCTATGCAAGTCGAGTCATCTGTAAAGCTCTATGGAAGTCAAGTCTTTGGACGGTGGACCAATGGATGTGCTGGTAACATGGACGTTACCACCGTTCGGGCATGGATGCTGGGAACGAAAAAGTTGATGCCCCCCCCCCCCCCCAAGAAAGCGCCCAATTCAGCAAACACCATGCGCTTAAGCACGTCAAGTGAGCCTTGAGCTGTAGCCATTTTGGGAAGGTGGAAGTCATGGTTTTTGCTGTGGCCATGGTTCAGGGACGGTGTTGCTGCGACAGCACAACGATGACCTTTCTATGAGTTCCCGGGCCATGTGGTCCACACCGAATGGAAACGGGCTGGGGCGGAAAGCAGTATGGAGAGACGCTGCCCAAGCCAAAAACAGTGAGTGCCGGGGTGAACAAACGGAGCCGAGAACGCCTGCTAAATGAATACGTGAGAGTGCGAAGAGGAGGTATAGCTCCCGTGAGAGGAGGGATGAGCTTAGAGTATCCTTGTAATCGGAGCTGGGGGTGGATAGGATATCGTCGCGTTGGATCCCCCTCCGCCCAAAGTGTGCTGAGGGAGGGTAGGTTTGCAGCCGACGGAGTATGAATCCTGCGATTCCGTGAGCAACTGTGAGTATCACCTAGTCTGAAAATTTCATGAGGGGACTCTCAGACACTCTGTGCCTCACCTGGCTTGTCCGATTAAACCCTTTAAACCCTAGAAACCCTAAACCCCATAAACCTATAAACCACATAAACCTCATAAACCCTATAAACCCTAACTCCACCTCATATCCCCCCCCCCCCCCTCCCAACCCCGAGACCGCGCTAGGTGTTGGCCGAGCGCATCCGCCTCGCCGCGAATGACAAGATACAGCACTGTCCCTTGTGGTATTGCTTCGGGTATTTAGCCGCCGAGCTGGTTATTTTTTTTGCAGGGGGGGGGGGGGCAGTTTGAGCGCTGTTTCAGATTCTTAAACCCACACCTAAGCAACAGCCTCAGACCGGTTTAGGGCCCGTACTGGTAGGAGCCGGAATGTCTGCCCAGGCAAGGTCAAAGTCTACCGCGACACTCGCGTCCGAACTGCGCCAGTTGATGCCAGCCTCACTTATAGCCTCCTGTCTGCACGCGCCTCTAGAGTGGTGGCTGCCTGCAAAGAGAATTATTGCAAGGGACCTGAGGGATAGAATGGTGCAGTGGCTGCCACGCCCAGTAGGCAGCACTCTAAGTTGCCAAGAGGGCACTCCGAATGCTCCACATCTGCGACGAGACCATGACCTAACATGCCAGGTCTTCTGACGAAGTACACGGGCCAGATCTTTACCTGGCCACTGGGGCTTTTAATCAGGATGACAGGGAAGAGGCATAACTGGGGTTTGAGGTTTCTGTATGGAAGGCCTATTTTGTCAGGACTCTTTTTTGGATTGTCCTGGTCGCCTCGTCTGCTGGTCCTCTGGTCTTCTGGTCTACTGCAAAGCGTGCTTCAAAGCATATGAATCTTGTTGAAACCCATCATGCGAGCATTGTGTTTGCAAATGGAGGCGGGGGGGGGGGGGTAGCTGTGGGTCCCCAACCCCTCCCCCCCCCGGCCGTGCAAGCGTGCTTCAAAGCCCCCCCGACCCCAGGCCCACTTATTTTAAAGCCGTGCAAGCGTGCTTCAAGGCTTAGCAATCTTGTTGAAGCCTTTGTTCTATGCTAGACTAAATGCCACATCATATACATATATATATATATATGTATATATATATATGGATAGATTTATTTCGTCATTTATGTCTTTTTAAGCGTAGTACATAGTCTATACTGTGCTTACATATTCAATAGCAGTACATTGCATGATATATTCGTTTGATCCCTTTGCATAACCATGAATTATGTTGTGTTGCATTATGCATCAGCGAGGCAACTGAAGTCCTTCGGTAGCGTTGGGGCCCAACTCCGGAGGAGATCCCTTTACGAAAAAGAGTGGCTTGTGACAGGTTGGGGACACAATGTGAAACACCTTCCAGAAATGGCCCCTACACCCCAAACCCTAAACCATCCTAAAGAAACCATTTGGATGGCTGGTAAAGTGAAAGGGGAAGAGAACGTTGTTGTGGGTCCTCCGGCGGGACCACCCTTTTTCCTCTGAGCAGACCAACGACTAACCCTGCCTGCGGTTCGGCCAGCTATGCGGGAGCGAAAAAAAAACCATCCTAAACCCTAAATCCTAAACCCCAAACCCCCCCCACCCCAGATCGGTTGCAGGTGCACCATGATCTACGAGCACCGATGGCCACCTGATGGGATTTCTGGGGCAGCGCAGAATCTCACGGGAGTCCGTCGCAACGCCCTGTGTTTCTGGCTGGGTTCCGGTCTCTGCCACGTCGTCGGAGGTAGGTTGGACCAGTTTGGGGGAGCATGACCACAACGTGGGAAATCCCAGGTTGGTTCTGGGCCTCGGCATCGGAGGATCCCTGATTCTCTCGATGGCGGCAGCCCCAGCATCATGGATTTAGGGTTTAGGGTTTGACCGGGCCCAAAAGCCCCAAGTTGTGCCAAGTCGCACAGATAGTGCCACACCCAAGGATGGAGAAAAGTCCCCTCCCGCGAACATTCAACACCCCCCCCCTACACCATAGGCTCGACTGCAGTATAGCTCCAAACCAGTCATGATTGCTGACTTCCCTAAACCCTTAACCCTACACCCTAAACCCCCCCCCCCCCCCCCCAAAAAAAAAATAAAAAAAAGACCCTCACCCCTAAACTGCGCAGGTCATCATTATGGGATTCGCCTGCTGCCTCTTGGCCACAGTGTGGCTCTGTTGTGTTCTGTGCTGACTTGCGAGCTTCGGCTTGGCTGAGGTGTGGGACTGGTTCTGACTCTTGGAGCAAGCTTTGCACAACTCCCCCGCTACTCTTTAGGCTCCCAAAGCCTCCCTCAGGTTCCCTGGCCTCCCTCAAAGATCCCATGAAAGTAGCCGAGAAAGCCCGGTCTTGTTTAGGAAAACACTCGCTCGGCGCCGGAGGAACGTCCTCATCGCCCTCCTCTTCCTCGTGTTGATTTGCGCCGATTACGTCCTCTTCTTCCAGGCCGAATTCACACCTCCCAACTTACATGCCAGGATGGGCTATTATACCCCTATAATCCCTGAAAAAGGCCCTTTATAGGGTTCATTATGGGGATTATAAGGCCCAATAGCCCATCCTGGTGTTCATCGGTGTTGTGAGATCCGCGAAACTGCAGCCGAAAGCCGAAGCATTGAGCCCTAGACCCGAAGCCCCTTCCGGCCCAACACCCCTAAACCTGCCGCCTTAGAGGCCGGCATTGTGACCGGGCGAACGGGAAGGATGGTCGTCGACTTGGTACAGCAAGCCACGGAGTGGGATATGCCGGCTGAGCCACCTGCCTTGGGTGTGTCGGGTGTTGAGTTTTTTGGGATGGTTTGGGCTGACATGATGGAACGGTGTGGGAGAACCTTGCATCCCAAACAGGTGCCCATAATGTGCAAGTCACGTCTCGCAAGCCGTGGCTAGTTCAATTTTGGGTTGCGAAGCTTTGTGCGTTGCAGGGAGAGGCGTTGCGGCGTAGCTCGTTCATGCGAGACAGGCCCAGGACACAACACACGTTTCATGGCATAGTTTCGGAAGATTCTGTAATAAATGGGGGTTTGAGACACATGGCAGAAGAGCCTGTTGGTGCCGGGCCTTGTGCCCTAAGCCCCGACAGAAATAGTCTCAGAAAGACAGACGGAAAGGAAGATGAAAGAGCGAAAGAAGGAAAGCAAGAGAGAAAGGGAGGAAGAAAGGCTGATAGAGCGAAGGAGAGAGAAGGGGTGGGTCTCCGAGACCCACCTCCCCTGGACTTGAGACCACGCCTCGCGGCTCCATGGGACCCTCCAAACGGAGAGGTAGTGAAACCGAACATGAGCCTATGCACTCGTATGGGCCATAGGGGTAGCAGGGGGCACACGGGAGGATTTCCGCAAGTACACATAGCCTTATAAAAGCCAACGCGCAAAGTCGGTCTACGGTTAGCTGCCGCAGAGCCAGCTTTCAAGGGACATCCGTAAGACCACAGCCGGATCCGCAATCTTTCCTTCATTGAGGGCTTCGGGCGCCTTGCTTTGAGGCTGGAGACCTTGATCGAAGACTCGACGGAAGATGAGCAGATGCGCGCGATATACAAATGGCGGCTCGGATGGAGACAGTAAATCGGTTCCCTGCTATCCCTGCAATGGATGGAGCCCTTGGTAAGCCCGGACATTTGCAAGTTCTTCGGAATGCTGCATCTGCGCAGTTTGTCGTAAGGCAAGAGCACGCGGAGGCACCAGAAAAAAACAGCTTTTGACCAGGTCTGCCATCGGGCTCCTGGTCGGAATTCTGGTGCTCGCTTGCGCGGCGGTGGCGACGCGGGAAGCTTGGTGCAGACTTAGGGCCCTCAGACAAAGAACGTGCTGCCATCCGAGCACTCATCCGTGCCTCGCCTGCCTTGCTCGTAGCTACCTAAGCCTCCACTGATATAATCCTTTCCAACCTTGAGAATCCGGCCTCAGCTGCCCAGAAAAACTTCCGAATCCTGGTGGAGTTGCTGAAAGAGGCGTCCAACACGATGCGCCACTTGGGCTCAGGGAGTCGCTGGGTTGGAGGCATGTGGGGCCCATGGCGCATAATCCCCACCCCTAATATTAGCCTCCCCCCCTACCCCCTAGTACTACACACCCCCCCCCCCCCCCTCCACATACTTTAACATGACTATACTCGACATATTTAATATTTGGGGGAGGGACCCCCAATGTGCTGCAGTATAACAAGACTGGGGGTGTTTAAAATTATGGGGGTTATTTGGCGGGGGTTCATATTAGGGGGTAAGGGGATTAGTGACTCCCAAAAAGGCTCCCTTTGGGCCGCCTGAAGCATCACAAAGCGACTTCTGAGGCGAGATGCCCTCGTTGCTCCTGGCCCCTTTTGTGCTGGCCCTGAGCATGATCTTCATGTCGGTGGTGATGCTGTGGGCGCCTTGCCAACGTTGGGGGGCAGCCGTAGAATCAGTGACCTGGTGCTAGGACTCTGACGGTGGCAGGCGCTCCTTGGCCACTTCAAGTCGCTTCTGGTAGCCTCTTTTTTTTTTTTTTTTTCGTAGCTGCCGCGTTGCGGAGTCCTCCCACAACTTGATTGGGAACCTCAGAACGTGGTACCGTGGTACTCGTAGGTGAACAACTTTATGGAGATTGCACATCCCAATTGTCCCTGTCCCCCTAAAGAAGGCTCTGTAAATAATAATGAAGCCCCAGAAAACCCCATGGAGCCCAAACATGTCCGAAAATAAGCCTGCAATAAGGCCCAAAAAACAAGGCCCTCTAACAAGCCATCAGGCCCGTAGTAAGAAGGGCCCGAACCACCACAGGAAACCTCTAAGGCCCTGCTGAAGACTTCCGAGGTCGCGCTGGCCGTGGCCACCGCCAGCGCCACCGACATCCCACGGACCTTGGAGGTGACTTTACCACAACACCCTAAACTCCAAACCAGGCGCAGTGCCTCGTGGGTTTTCTCTCCGAGTTTCAGGCCCCGAGAAAGGCTCTAGAACCCAAACCCAAAAGCCAAAAAAGAGGGCCCTTACAGAGTCATAGGGGGCTTGTCATGAGAAGTCTGGCGGAAACACGCAGAGGATGCACAGCATATTGTTCCGCAGCCAGGCGTGGCATTTCTACATCCACCCGGCTCTCGAGGCCGACCTCGGGATGGTAGAGCAAAGTTCCTTAAGAACTCGCCCTAAACCCTAAACCCTAAACCCTAAACCCTAAACCCTAAACCCTAAACCCTCCATGGAAGGCGGTCGGCCTGGCACAGGCTGATGAGATGTCGCAGTTGCGCCAGCTCCTCGGCGAAAACTTCTCAGGGTTTAGGGTTTAGGGTTTTAGGGTTTAGGAGGGGTTTCAGGAGTTGGCGAGTTCTGGGAGGGTTGAAATTCTCCCCTTCGGGCGCTTGTTTGTGAGCCTGGTGCACAGGCTTGCCTTGCAATTTGGGCCAGTGGCCAGTCATTGAAAATCCTTCAAAGGGTTCTGAAGTGCGGGCCCTTGGGTTGCATCGGGTATATAAGGGGTCCCCTTTTAGGGGCCCATGTCACGGGACCATGTACCTAAGAAGCTGGTGACCAGGACGGCTCTGATTTTCAACCTCTTCGTGCCTCTTGGCTCTCTTGGCTGGGGTTCCTGATGTCTTGCAGGGTTTAGGGTTTAAGCTCCATGGTTTGGTGTGGCCAATTCTAGCTCCAAGATAGGGCAAGTTTCTGCTCACAACTAGACATGACATGGGGCAATGTACCTGTTATTTTTTTTGCATTCCTATCCCAGGTTCCTCTTCATCTACCACTTCCACGCGTCCCTGTGCATCGCCATTACGGCCATGTGTGTCTCTCACTGGTGCCTGGGCTCTCAAGGACCTCTTGACTATTTCTCAATCTTCTATTGAACGTCTCACACCAAGTCAGCAACTCCTATAGCCTATAGCCGAGACAACCGGCATCTCACGTGGTTTGAAGGGAGTTTTTGGCAGGTACTTCTACCGCAACGACCCAGACCGGAACGCGGGCACAGGACAGATCCTGCATCTGCCATCAGCAGGCACAAATCGACGCCCAGAAAACATCAGAAAGGCCCTGAAACCACCCAACAAACCGTCGCAACCATGCTCGAGCCTCTGTCTCAAGCCCTTCCTCCGCGCCGCGTGCCTACCGCCAGCACACGAAAGAGTCATGGGCTGCGGTGCCTCGAAGCGATCCTACACGGAGCCCCGGAAGATCGAGACGAAGTTCTACCACGACTTCGAGAAGAAGATCCCCTCTTTGGCTGGCAAAGTCGTGCTCATCACAGGCTGCACCACCGGAACGGGATTCATTGCCGCGTGCTGTGCAGCAAAAAAGGGAGCCACGGTGGTGATGCTGAACCGCAAGAGCTCCCGTTCCGAGGCTGCCGAGGCGGAGGTCCAAAAGGTAGTGACTGAGGGTAAGGTCATGACGGTGGAGTGTGACCTGCAGAGCTTTGAGAATGTCAAGGCAGCGGCCGCCAAACTCAAGGAACTCTTTTCGGAGACCGGCGTTGATGTCTTGTGCAACAATGCCGGAGTCATGGCTTTAGCCGATGAGGCGACCAAGGACGGGTACGATGTGCAGATGCAGACCAACCACTTGTCCCACTTCCTGTTGACCAAGGAGATCTTCCCCCTCTTGGAGAAAGGGGCAGCGTTGCGCGGGGAGGCTCGCATTGTGAATCACTCGAGCGGCGCGCGGTTTGCGCCAAGCACACCGCTGACAGCAAAGTATCTCGGGAAGAATGGCGGTGCTCTTGGAGGCAACAGCAGTTCTATGTTGTGTGGCGGGGCGCGTTGGGAGAGGTACCATCAGACAAAGCTGGCCAACGCTGTGTACACCGTGGAGCTGGCTGAGAGGTTGAAGAACGCCAGCTCCAAGGTGAAAGTTCTGTGTGCTGCGCCCGGGCTGGCATCCACAAATCTCCAGGTCACCACGAATCAGGCCGATGGGATGAGCGAGACCTGGATCATGAAATACGGGCAGTCGGGGGAAGATGGGACCATGCCCCTGGTTCAATGCTGTTTCGGAGAAGGAAGTGAGAACGGAGATTTTTGGGAGCCGCAGACAAAGTCGATGGGCATGCGGATGAAAGGCTTGCCGCAAAAGTTTCCGTTGGAGCCCATCTGCACAAAGGCCGAGTCTCGCAAGATTCTTTGGGAGGAGAGCGAGAAGGCCTGTGGCCCCTTCGTGCTTAGCGGCCTCAGCAACTAAGGATCAAGGCCACCACGAGACAGCTGCTGAGCTCATACGGTCCGTTTGTGCCAACTATTCCAAGCCTTTGCGGGGGGGGGGTTGAAGTGGATTGAACAATGGAAGACCTATATTTGTAGGGTTACCTTTACAGGGCTGAGACTTGTTGCACCCTCCCCGAGGGTCTTGAGGGTGTCGTATGAAGCTTGGCTTCTGCAGGCACAGGGTGCTAAACGAGCCCCGGTGTCTTTGCTGCAGATTCCTTGGGGCACAGGTGGCGGGCGAGGGGTCGAGAAGTTGTTGAGTTGCGGTAGATCGACTCTACGCCACAACACGTGCAGGGCTTCAATAAGGGCTCTTTCACCTCCCACCGCCCTCTGTGCCTGAGCGATCTCAGCCACATCCCTTTTTGGCCCCTTGACCGGAATCTTCGTGGTCCAACAGGGTTGAGGCCAGAGGCAGCAGACATTACATGGACAAGTCCCGGACCCAGTTATAATACTCAATACTGTAGCTCTACTGTAGCTGGTTACGACTGCTGCAGGTCTTTCGCCTGAAGGGCCGCCGGTTGTACTGATTGCACGAAGAAGCACCGCAGCAGGCGGTTGCCGCTGCGTGGAAGCAGTTCCTGTGGCGATGGTCACGCTGCCGTACGCTGAGTTCGGTCAAGTACAAGGCTCTACATGCTGACCGTTGCACTACTTCGAACCCTGCCTTCCAAACCCTCCGCACGTGCCCATTGCTTCTGTCACCATCTCATCGCCCAGCTAACGCTGCACCTAGCTCTCTGGGGGCCTTGGGGTAACCCCTTCGCCAATCCAGAGAACTTCGCAGGCTGAAATGCCTGTAGAGCAGACACCTTCGGGCTGGGGCGCGCGAGACAAAAGGGCGGCACGGAATCTACGGATGCTTGCGGGGTTTGCGCATGCCACGCCCAGTCAGGGCTCAGATCACATTGCTTTAGATGTCGGTTGTACAAAGCAGAGCAGTCATGAGTTGCATGTAGGATCAAGCGTGCTCACGAGCACAGCATCTCATCACATAATCTGCTCACGAGCCAGGTGTAGCCAATGCGCCTTAACATGACTCCTACGCGCATGAGCTACTCAAGCTTGCCTGTTTCTTTCGCGGTAGCTGCTCAGGAGTCAACTCGGATGGCTGGTTCTTCGGTCGCCCCCTGGACGAAAATCAAGACAGAGGGACCTCTTACCGGAGGTTTAAGGGGGTTGGAGATGGAAGGCTTTGAAGACCCCTCCCCCCTACCCTGCCAAGAAAGGGGCTTGTGCCGCATGATGCATCTGATTTTTTTGTGCACGTCGTGATTAGTCCTGTTTCCTGGCGGTCCGATGCGAGTCCGGTTGCACTTGGAAGGGGTACAGCCTAGGGTCCAGCGTAGGGTCTACGGCGCCTGCATGAGCAGGCTGCATGGTGCTACATGTTGTTGTGGGGCGTTGTTTGCTTATGCACCTTAAACCCTTTGTTTTTCTTGGGCCCCAAGGGGCCCCTCGGAGGGCCCTTTGGCCCCTCTGGTTGGTGATCTCAGGACCCGTCCTCTTGGCCTTTCTTCGCCTCTGCCGTCACCACCTCGGCTCGCTGGTCTTCGGCTCCTGTCACCCGGCCTCCCCAGAATCATCGGTGGCCTCTTTTGGGTGCTTTCAAGGAGCCTTGGAACTTTTGGAATGTCAGCCTGGGGCGCCTTTGCAGTGTGCGGAAAAGAATGCTCTCACGATACAAAGGTATCATGGCCGTCGCCACCATGCTACGAATCTTGGCATGGCAATGGCTTGCGCACCACGACACCCCTCGTGGCACGTGTCTGTGCTATAATTACAGTGCGCTCCCACGCATACATCGACTCTCTGTGCCAAGATTCCTCCAAGAATTCGTTACTAGGTCCTCAGTGCCTCTCGAGGACTCATCTTCGAGTACATCGCCGCGAAGACGAAAGACCAGGAACAGCATTGGGAGACATTGACGTCGCTGCCCGCGCAGTGGTGTAAGACACCGGACCCATCAACCCTGCTAAAGGCTTATCTGTGCATGTATGTGGAACATATGTAGAGCAATAACTGAATTGTACTTTTTCTTAATATGCATGATCTATCTTTATATAGTATACAGAAAAACATATGTGTGTATATATATATATATATGTACATATCTGCATATGTACGCCGTCCAGCACCACTGCAGGAGTCCAACCCCGTGGTGCGAGCGGTGGTGTGCGCATGCCGCTGCGGCCTCTGGTGCCTGGAGCGCTGCCTGCAGTTCATCACGGAGTACGCCTACGCAGGGGCGCCCAAGAGCTACAGCAACTGTCATAGGGGGTGTCCACCTATACATGTATATATATATAATGTGTCGTATATATATATATGTATGTGCATATATATGTATATACATTGTAGATCTTTATGTACATGTCTTTTCATGGTCCACAACAGCTAAGTCAGCCGACACGAGGGTCTCAGATCGGTCGGTCGAACGAGCTGAGTGGATCTTTTCCCGGAGCAGCTGAGTTCCGAATGCCCTAAACCCTAAACCCTAAACCCTAAACCTTCGCTCCAGTCCATGTGTATGTCTGACTTGAGGTTGTGCAAGAGATTGCAAAATCAGGTCTATGTGGCTGTGACCGGCAAGACATTCTGCGCTTCTGCTCACGCGTCGTTCGTCTTCTTTGCCAAGTACCCGGTTCCCTCGTCCCATTTTGTCATGCCACTTGAGGGTCCTATCCGGGCTGAGTCGGGCCTGACATGAGCGTGTGCACTGGTGTGCACTCAAGAATTCCGCGGTGCCTTTAGCACAAACGTGTGCTGGGATTTCGGGGAGAGTGGGACATACATAAGGCAGGACGGAGACAGAGTTAGAGCCTCACTGAAGGTGCAAACTGCCATGGACAAGATGGCATCTGCGGCTTCTAGTCCAAACTCAGCAAGCTGTCCCACATGGGTTGAGGGTTTAGGGTTTAGGGCAGGGACCCCGAATATAGCCCCCCCAAAGTCCGAGTCCCAAGAAATGAGGACCCCAAGACAAGGTACCCTATCATCGGAAACCCCCCCAATCTCGGTTCCCAAGCACGGCAGCAGATTCCTCAACACCGACTCAACACCCAACGTGCTCCTTTTTCGATCTCGGGATCTCAGAAATTCTTTCCCAACCTGGATGGACACTTCACCTGCCTTGGGTCGACCCGAACCTTGAATTGCACAAATCTCCAGGGGCGGTTCAGGGGAGTTCAGGGTTCCGAGAAAGCCTGAGCCCTGAAAGGGCATTCAGTTGCTGCACTTCTGCTGGCCTCCCTAAACCCTAAACCCTAAACCCTAAACCCTAAACCCTAAACCCTAAACCCTAAACCCTAAACCCTAAACTCCCACAGGCCTTGGGCTACCTACTTTGTGTTACAGTGCCTCTCGGCCTGGCTGTGGTCGCCTTCCCCTGGCTGTCCCAGGCAGGGCGATAGGGGGATAGGGGGGTTTACGAAAATAAGGGACCCCTATAATAGCAGTTTAATAGCACCCCCCCCCCCCCCCCCCCAAATAGTAGGTTTAGGGTTTGGGGTTTAGGTTTAGGGTTTAGGGTTTAGCGTTTAGCGTTTAGGGTTTAGGGTTTAGGGTTTAGGGGGATCCCCTTATAATGAGGACCCGACTAATAAGGTATCCCCTAATATCGTAAACCCCCCCATATAGGATCCTGGAGGGGAACCATGCAGAGTTCCGTCGGGGCTCGGCCAAAATTTCCTAAAAGTTGCATGCCCTCAAGGTGAGCCAAACATCCCAAACCTCCCTAAACCCTAAACCCTAAACCCTAAACCCTTAAAAGCCTTCGCTTGGGACCTTTCGAACTGGCAAGGCATGGCCTCCGTGTGCCTTCGTCATCATCGCCCTGTCGTATGCCTCCCAACTGATCGGTCAGACTAAGCCTAAGGGTTCAGGGTTCAGGGTTTAGGGTTGAGGGTTTAGGGTTTAGGGTTGGAGGATGGGCGATTAGGCCTTAAAATCCCTTTAGTGAACTATAAAGGGCTCCCTTTAAGGGATTAGAGGGTAGAATCGCCCATCCTGGTAAGCATGTAGGATTTAGCCTACGCGCACGAATTCGCGATTGCTGCTATTTTGAGAACACCATCTGACATTCACCAGGGCGACGGGTTGCTGTTGTTAAGCGGCCTTGGCATGAGCGAGTTGGATGCCACGCCCTTAAAAAACATCCCCCAAGAGTCCGACCATTAGGTCACAACCCGACTGGCAGCTGGCATCTACGACGTCTGCATCACCACTCTTTTCGTCTGCGTGATGCGTGACTGCGAGCATTATGGAGGCCGTTGCTGGGACCCGAAGCACACGTACTCAGCATGCAAGGCGCCCGCGGAGCTCTGACACAAAAGTTTGCGTCCCAGAAACACATTCTTTTTCTGGAGACGACCTCGAACATATACCGCGCAAACCCAAGGGATGAGGTCCGAGAAGAACGATTGGACAATTCAGTTGCGTGTGGGTTGCCATAGAAAACGCCAGAGTGAATGTCGTGCACGAGAAATGCAAGCTTTAGTTCCATGAGCTTAACTTATGTATTCTAGCACCCATGATGTTTAATGTGTATCAAACTAAGTTACGCAACCGATTGAAATGGGGAGAATCGAATACAAAGAAACGCTATACTTGTGATATAGAAAAGATCACTTACAAAGCTTGCCATCTGTATAGCTGGGCTGTACATTCGGTTGAAGCCCTATATAAGTGCTCTATGATTCGTGCTCTATGATTCACAGGCGGCCCCCTTCGGTGAGTTGAGTGCGAAGGAAAGGCAAGGAAAGGCAAGGAAAGGGAAGGAAAGGAAAGGGAACCTTCTTCATGCAAGGCGTGAGCATAAGGCCGCATCCGATCTCGAACCTCAAGACCAGGTCCTACTCAAAAGGTTCCTTTCAATTTCTTTAGCGTCTTCGGCATGTGAACCCTCAACGTTTTTCACGGCTCGCATCCCAAACTCTGAGGCTACATGAGCAACGCATCCCAAACTCTAAGGCTACATGAGCAAAACTCTCCGGAACGCCTGTGGCTTCGGCGACCTCGCTCGTCAAAGCCTGGCGCGGCAGTCGGGCATCGACGGCATCGAGCTCCAGTGATCAAGCAGGGATGAAAATTGATCGAGCTTGGGGTTCAATCTTGTCAACTTTGGCAGACTTTGTATAGACCCCCTCCCCACCCGCCTGGCCCTCGCCCTCGCAGGCTTTGTGCATCGCCCGTGGCGAACCAGCTCTTCTGCCGGGCGATCATGATGAGCCTGGTGCTCAAGCTTGCAAAACCCATAGTTTCATCCCGAAACGCGCGGCATTCGGAGTGGAGGGCTCTCCAACGCTGCTGGCAGTGCAAAGGCTTGAGATTTCCCTTTGCGTAGGCGTGGCCGGATTGAAGCTTAAAGAACCCGTCTGAACCCGTGGGCAGGCCCCGCCTCGTTTACCATCACGCCGGAGCAGGTGGGGAGATTTCTATCGGATATTGGCTTCGTGGTGAAGCCGGCTCGGGCTCAGGTTCATCCATTTCCTATAAAATTATCAAGATCAATATAGACATAGATAAACTATAAATCAATAAATACGCAAGACAAAAGTGTATATATATATATATAGAAATGCTAATATACATATATATATATATTTATATAGTAGCTTAGTAGCTCATATTCGTGGCCCTTTCGGAAAGATGTTCGGCTCTTGCCCCATATTGGCACCAAGACCCCGACAGTTGTCGGCTCGCCCCGCACGGAGGAGGAAGTTTCAGGAGCAGATCCTGATTAGTATCTGCATCCGGCTGCCCAGCTCACGATGTGTGTATGACCATGGGGGGTGGAGCACAACTTTGCCTCTCTTGGAGAAACTCCCGAGCTGTTGCTTTGTGACTGAAGATCCTTCTTAAGCTGATTTTTGGAAGCGTCCAGGGCCCAGGGATAGTCGCAGCAAGGGTTTCCCTTCTCAAAGGGTCCCCTCCCCATTCGCCAGGCTGAGGAGTTAGCAGCAGAGTTTGCGAAGAACGCCGGCGCAACTTGGCTGCAACGAGACTTGGGACAAGCCGCCGGAGGTACACGGGATGCTGGCGCATATTGAGCTGCAATCGTGTCCCTCTTGAACCGTCAAGGACCGTAATCTCTATAATTAGTTGGTGATGGGTGCACGATGTTGCGGTTCCTGCAGCGCGTCACGCTGCATCTGGTTTCGGAGCGGTCTAGTTGAAGCAGCAACCGTGCTGCCTCATTCACTGCCCTCCGGCGAGAGCACAGAATGCGACATGCATGTTCGGCAGAGTGTCTTAAGGCGGGACATGCGCACCAAACTATTCGATGCCGAATGCATGTCTTGGACCGCAGCTGATGAAGTCAAGGCCCAAAGCTCACGAGCTTCACGACCCCTCAGAACCAACCCACAGGCAAAGTCCACCGCCCTCGCAGACATGCAAGACCTGTCCATGGAGGCCAAAATTCTTTTGCGGAGAAAAGGGTCGTTTTCTCTGGGGGGGAGGGGGGGGAGGACTTGGAGATAGTTTGGGTTCAGGCTTGACTTGGGAATTGGGGGGGGGGGGGGGGGCAGGCTGAAGGCTTCAGGCCCTTTTTGCTTGGGCTATGCGGCTATGGCATGAGCTCCCCAGAACCAGCGGAAGGTCGATTCAGGTTCCTGCCTTCTGACTGTGGGCGTTGGGTGGCGTTGCTGAATGTTGCAGGGTTTCAGATTCACCGCTTAAGGCAAAGTTCGTTAGAAGTATCGGTATTCGGGCTTGGGGCGTCGATTCGCAAGCTCCGGGCGGCCGGTATGCCCTCCCTGTCTCAGGTGGTTCTCAAAACCCAGGTGGAGGGCTCCTACCGTAGCCCGGATGCAGTCGGTTCCAGGTTACAGGTGCTTCGTTCTGGTGCTCCTTCGAGGCCCAGCAGTACTCGCTTCTATCGCGAACCGTGTAGGAGCTTACTCGGGGGCCTTCACGGCTCTACCGAGCCCAGGCGCCCTGAGAGAAAACGCCGGCTTCGGGTTTAGGGCTTTGGGGAAAGAAGGACATGTTGAGCTGAGCCCTGAACCGAAAACCCTAAACCCTAAACCCTAAACCCTAAACCCTAAACCCTAAACCCTAAACCCTGAACCCTGAACCCTGAACCCTGAACCCTGAACCCTAAACCCTAAACCCTAAACCCTAAACCCTAAACCCACCCTATCCCAAGGCATCTTTCCAACCACCGGGCCGGGTTGGCGAGAGCTCATGGCTGGTGGGCCTGGGGCTCATTCACTAAATTTATAAGTGTACTTATAGCTGTACTTATAACCATATTTGGGCACTTCAGGGGCTTTAAATTATAAGTGTACTTATAACTGTACTTATAACCATATTAGGGCACTTCACTTCAGGGGCTTAGATGTGTGTTTCCTGTACAGCTATAATTGGTTGTTAAGTTCCATGGTTTTCTGTACAGTTATAACCGGTTGTTAAGTTCCATGAACCTCCAACGAAGGTCGTACTGGTAAAGGTTCCCTTAATCCTAACATGGCCCTTCAATTCCCTTAGGGATCCTTTTAAAAGGGGACCCCCCCCAAAACCCAAAGGTGCAACCTTAAGGGTCCCAGGTAGAACCCTAAACCCTAAACCCTAAACCCTAAACCCTAAACCCTAAACCCTAAACCTAGAGGGTCCAGGCCAAGAGTTGTTGTTTGAAGCCGGAGCGAAACAAACAAACCTGACCTGGAAGATGTCCTAAATGCTAAACCCTGAACCCTAAACCCTAAACCCTGAACCCTGAACCCTAAACCCTAAACCCTAAACCCTAACCTCGGAAGATGGAAAGCGCCCGAAGGTCCCTACCCAGCGTGGATCCTGAGCCGGCCAGTGGCTCAGGGTTCTTCCGGGGTCCTAGGTAGGAGAAGGGGGGACCCTTAAAGCGGAACCCTTCTGAACCCTCTTCTGGCTTAAACAGAGACCTTGTTGAGAGGGTCTATATCCGCAAGGGTCCCCGGAAGCCTATCCCCTATCTGGTTGAGGTCGGATTGTTGATTTGTATGGGCGTTGGCCCCTATGAAACTCATCGGGTTCTGATTGAAAATCAATCCCCATCCCCTGCCCCAAAGAAATGCTCGGCTTCACGAGCATTGAGATTCATGAATTTTGGAACCCAGGGTTGATAGTTATGAGAGGGTTTCTGTCAAACCGGGACCCGACATGCAGCACTCCTTACACCCCCCCCCCGCCTGTAGCCTCCGCCATCAACATGCTCGCCGCCCAAGTTTCCGGCTTTGCGGGTGTTAGGGCTTTCTGTGCATTAGGCCCACAAAAGGCTCATGCCAACCCCCTTGAGTTCCCCCCAAAGCTCTACCAAAATAGCTGCGGCATGCCCTCAGGATCAGCAGATATACATCAAATCGGGGTCAGTTGCTGCGCCGTCAACCCCTGAAGCCCGGGAACCGGATGGCCGTGCTGCTGCCCCTGCCTCTGGGAGAGAAGCCACTTCGGCGTCTTGCCTCTCACAACGGGTGCGCTCCTGTAGTCTGAAGCTTGGAGGGTTTCATGTATCAGATTTGTCAGGGTGGTTGTCAAAATGATGGTCCCTTTTGGGATCCCTCGCATAGTACGGCACCTAGTATTACCCCAAAAGGGACCATCAATTTTGACAACCACCCCTGTAGGAGGAGAGTTCCACAGAAAATCCGGCTATTGTAGGGTCCGGCCCAACATTTCTCCCAATCCAGCACCCCCCTAAATCGACAGTAAGGTGCGGACTGCAAGGGTCTGTGAGGCGCACGTGGGTCCTACGGGTACCATAGCCCAATCTTGACGCCCAATTCAGCCTTTTTCCCCAATGAAGCTTCAACGCTGCACATTCCCAGGATGGGCTATGATACCCCATTTAGTCGAGGCATAATAGCCCATGGTTTAGGGTTTAGGGTTTAGGGTTTAGGGTTTGCATCCTGATATCCCTATTCGGTGCCGCAGTTAGGGAGCCGATTTTAGACCAAGCTGCGCCTCGGCCGGCGGCAGCTACCCCGCCGAGGACTGCACGCCGGTCTCGGGTTGAGGGTCACCGGGCTGGTATGGGCTTTATTCTACCCTAGAATCCCCTTAAAAGGCCCTTTGTAAAGGTTCAAAAATGGGGATTTTCAGGCCTAATAGCCCACCCTGGGTTGTGTCACATAAGCCAGCATCGCCCAACGTGCCAAATCAAACCCACACACCTAGGTCCCATGCGCATGCTGTAGCTCCCATTGCGGTCCCATGCGCTCGTGTGCTTTGCTGAATCTCCGGCCCCTTCCGACGTCACACTCGTGGCACCCGCCTCAGTCCCTTGCGCGCCTCAGGCAAAGTACAAAAGAGTCCAAATCTTGCTCTGCGCCGCAGTCCCCTGCACATGCTCTTGGAGAAACTGTCTTTCTCTTATGGCCTTGAATCACGGAGAGCGTCATTTGCGATGTGATGTGGGGTTTCTCGGTCCGTGGTTTCTCAAAAGCTGGAAGACATGGAGCCTTTGGCCTTTTTTCTCTAGTTGAACTAGAGAATGGGTCCTGGTGGTGCGTGTCTTAGGTGTTGTATGTTCACTTAGTACAGAAGGGCCCTATGCGGCTATGGTTCAATATGGACCATGAAGCCCGAAACCCTAAAGACAAAAGCCCCGAACCCAGAAGTGACTGCTGACCGAGTGCCTCGCCTGGTTCGTCCGGGCGTGAGCGAGTAAAAAGCTGAACCCCAAACCCTAAACCAATTGTCGGCCTTCGTCATGATCCCAGCGGCGTGGATTCGCCCAAGCGGTGCAGGAGTGAATAACAGGAATAACAACAAGGCGGAGAAGAAACCTAGACCTGAAACCCGAAACCCTAAACCCTAAACCACCCTAAACCCTGAACCCTAAACTAACCTTTAAACCCTAACCCCCCTAAAATAGCAGCAATCGCGCTTTCTGCACCCTAGAGAGGAGGCCGGTTTCGGCCCGAGTATGGTTATAAGTACAGTTACAAGTACAGTTATAACCCTAACCCCTAAACCCTAAACCCTGAACCCAAAACCCTAAACCCTAAACCCTAAACCCTAAAGGTCCATGAGTGCCATGAACCTCCAAGCAAGAGGAGGCATGTTTCGGGCCTTCCGATGCTTGCTCCTGGCGGCCGCCCTCGGCGAGCCGAGCCGCGGGATCGTCCGCGGGCCCAGGGGCACATCTTTTGGGCTTTTTCTTTGGGTTTAGTGTTTAGGGTTTAGGATTTGGGGTTTAGGGTTTCAGAGAGAGAGAGAGAGAGAGAGAGAGAGAGAGAGAGAGAGAGCGAGAGCGAGAGAGCGAGAGCGAGAGAGAGAGACAGAGAGAGAGGCTCTTGGGACTTGCGCGCCCCTCGGGGCAGCTCTCCCTACGGGGGGCGGCTAAGCGTGCAGAGAGAGAGAGAGAGAGGGTTTAGGGTAAAGTCATGGGCTTTTCATGCTCTTGAGGTAGGTTCAGTGGGGCTGGCAGATCCGTGCCTCCCTAATGCTGTTCCGGTAGTGCTATACTCTTGCGATTCTCTTTGTTGTTCGTACCCTCAACATGTTTTCCGTTTGGGGGATGACCAGAATAAGGGAGCCTCAACATTAGACCCCCCAAATCGTTGGATTCCCCTATAAAATATTGTATAGACCCCCATATGGTATATACCCCTACGTGGGAAACTCCCGTTTGGGCATTCGTGGGCCAGAGAGCTTCAGCTTGTGTACGCAGTATTTCGAGCTGCCTGATGCATGGCTGGGCTACGAGCCCTTAAATTTCTACAGGGCTTTGCCTTCGAACTTTGCAACACATTAAAAACCCTAAACCCTAGACCCCAACCCCTAAACCCTACTTGCTGCCCACCCTCAGGATTTTCCAGCGCCCACAGTGGAGCCGAAGCAGGCGGAAAAGACCGAGGAGCAGCTCTGGATGGATGCTCCTTGCCACGCATCCCGAATCCACCCTTCCCTGCAATGTTTTCTCATGTCTTTTGGAGGGAAGAGGGGGGGGGGGGGGCGGGCGGGGGATCCGAAGCAGAAAAGCCCTAAACCCTGTAAAACCCTAAGATACCCTAAGCCCTTGCTGTAGCTCAACAGATGTTAAACCCAAACCCTTCCCCAAAATAACGAAGCCGAAGAGCGGAATTATCTCAAAAGAAAACCGAAACCCAAAAGACCCTAAACCCTATAACAGCCCTAAGTACCCTTAAACTAAAAAAAGAGCCCGAAGCCCCAAAGTAAGGAGCACTGGCCTGGCTACCAGAACGGCGTCAACCTCGGGGGCAGCTTTGTGATCGAGAACTGGATGCTCCTGGGGCGTTGTGAAAGCTCAACACCGTTGACTTCACGAGTTTCCTTAGCGTAGGGAATTCTGGGTTTAGGGTTTGGGGTTTGGGGTTTGGGGTTCAAGAAGGCGAGGATAGGCAGGCGTCTGGCAGTCAGCAAGTCCCTCTTGTTTTGCTTTTGCCCTTAGTCCTGCTGCCGGTTCGCGTTTGTTCGGCCAGTCCCCCAGCTTCGTAGCTTGGTGAGTTGGCGAACTGGGCTGTCTTGCCAAGTGCCCAGTTCCAACCCAAGCCGCCCGGCTTGGGGGGACGGGCCCGTGGAGGTTCGGGTGCCGCCCCTGAGGGGCCCGGAGCGTTGAACTCTCTGCGCGCCGGAGCCCCGATGATGGCACGCTCCGTCACCCACTCAATCACTCGAACTCAGCAAGTGGAGGAGTTGTTGCATCGCTAGTTCCTGGAAGATTGGATCTGATGGAAGTACCTTGTCGGGTTGAGGAGCTGCAATAATATACCCCCTCTAGGCATAACTAGGCAGAAGCATGGACCGTGTGGTTCGTCAGTTCCTATCGGTCTTTTCCTATTTAGAATTTAGAAGGCATCCCTGAGCGGAAACTCCCAAAGTGCCCGAAGGAACCTAAGTTTCGCATCAGACGTAGATAAGACCGGTTTCGATGCGAGGTTCATGCGGAGCAAGCCCCCCTTTGATGACGCCTTCCTCCAGCTCGACTACTCCAAGATACCCAGGTGCCCTTCGTCGTAGTTGCAAGGTTGAAGCTTCCCTGTGTAGAGTGCGGATCCCGAGCTGAGGTTCAACAACAACATGTGGTCAATTGCCATGTTGAACAAGACGTCCTCCAGCACGGCGGACGAGGATGAAGATGACAAAAGACACCTGCGCCACAAAGGTAAGAAGAAGGAGGATGGTGCAGGCGGCGGGGGAGATGGCAGCATCGCCTCTGAGACGATGTGGTGCCACTTAGAGCAGTACTACAACGATGACCTCTTGGACAAGTTCGCAGAGTTCGGGATCAACTCCGTTCGGATTCCAGTGGGGCACTTGGGGCACTGTTGGGCATGTTTTTGTTTTTCATTCATCATATTTTACACATCCTAGAGACAAGGCAAGGCAGTTGTGTGACAATGCCAAGCCTTACTCCAAAGGACCTGTATAGGATCTGCCGCCTCCATCCGCCTCCCGTCCCTCCACAAATGGCCCAGTCTGCGCTTCGAGGTATTGGATCTTCGACGACACAGAGCTGTATCCCCTGGACTACTGGCCGGTCCCGCTGACGACCGGAGACCGGCCTTACGGCGTGAACCCTGAGGGAATCTCGGCCAGGTTTGAGGGTTTAGGGTTTAGGGTTTACTGGTTGGTCCTCAAGCCCAGTTGCAGAAAAAGGATTTAGGGTTTAGGGCTTCGAGTTTTCGGACCGCTCGGAAAAGTTTGGGGCGCCCTTGACCAGAAGCCATCCCAAGGCTTTCCCAGTGGGGTTGGCAAAGCCAGTCGCCCTACTATTGTGTATGTACCTGTTTCTATATATATATATGTATATATTATTAATAATAATAATAACAATAGTAAGAATAATAATGATACATATGTATACATATATATATATATTGTTTGCCATACTTCTTTGTATATAGATATATTATGCCCAGTCCCAGCAAGGATTCGTGACGCCGGGCACACTCGCATTGACCAATGTCATCGTGAAGCTGTGGAATCGCAACATGAAGGCTTCCAGCAGCGACGGGTCAGCTTTGGGGGCTTTTTGGGTTGTTTTAGGGTTTTAGAGTTTTCTGTCGTAGGTTTTTTTTAGTTTTTTAAACTAAAAGCAGTTCCCTCAGTTCACGAAGCCAACGAAGCTGCCAAGTTCGATCCGAGTTTCTTCCATGGGACCCTAAACTCTCCTAAACACTCCAAAACATCCCTCTCCCAAACACTCCAAAACATCCCCCGAACCCCCCCCCCCCCCCCCCCCCCCCCCCCTCCCCGAAACACTAAAAAAACCCAAAACCTCCAAGCAGAAACTTTGCAGGTGATGCTCGACATGCATGCGCTTCCTGGGTGCAGCACCCCTTTCCAGTCCTATGCCGGCATCGAGTGCGCTCCAGAAGCCCCCAACTTCTGGGAAGGTGCCGCGAAATCCAGGGTTCGCAGAGTTTAGGGTTCAGGGTCTAGGGTCTAGGGTTTAGGGTTTACGGTTAGGGGTCCAAAGCGCAAGAAAGGAAACCCTGACGCCACCCGGCAGGGCTTGCGGAAGATGGCATCTCGAATGCTGGCGGCAGTCCTTATCCGACTTATCGGGAGAAGGACCGGGCCCCTTGCAATTTTCATCTCAGGGAGAAGTCCATGTCGGGGCCACAACTAGTAGAACTACTCGTGCAATAAGAGCTGCCCCATGACCTCTCAACCTAACAGGCAGCTGGCTGCGGATATGGCGACCAACCTGGAAACGTGTTCATGGCACTAGAAGCACAAAGAACCTGTAACCACCATGGTAGCACAAGGTTGCCATGAACATCTCATATGAGCATCGCCGTATATGTTAGTGCCCCGTACCATTTCTTCTTCTTTGAGTCGCAAAAAAGTTGGAAGCTACATTGATGGGGTCCTCATGCCTCACTATAGGGATGCCCACAAGACGTAATTGCGACTTTCACGTATTTTTCGCGCCAGGATGGGAAGACCTGGGCGGATGTCTACTGGAAGATTGCCCTGGACCGCGTGGTCCCCTACATCAAGTCCAGCACTCAGAGACAACTGGGCCTCAAAACCTTGGAAGCCTCCGCGCTGTAGGACTTGCATAGGATCTTTCTAAGAGTTTGCGAGGTTCCTACCTCGGTTCTTGAAGTGAGCCGTTTCGCTCTCTGGTAAGCGGCGCTTTTGGCTTCTGGAAGTATGCCCGTGAACCCTAGAGCCGTCCGTCCGGGCCCGTTTTTCTGACAGTTGCGAGGTTCATCAATGACCGGATGCCTGGGGCCATCATCGCCTATGAAGTCATCAACGTGCCCCGCCATCCCCTCGTTGAGGGTTTGGGGTTTATCGGGTTCAGGGTTTAGGGTTGCGTGTGTGTGTGTGTGTGTGTGTGTGTGTGTGTGTGTGTGTGTGTGTGTGTGTGTGTGTGTGTGTGTGTGTGTGTGTGTGTGAGTATGAGGATGTATAGGTATGAGCATGCCTGCCCCTTTTTGCCTTGTAAACAAAGTGGCCTTGAGATTGACCGCCCCCTGTGTGAACTGTTGTTGATCACGGCCCTTCTTGTTAGCTTTGCCGTGCCCTGCCCTCATTCACGACAGCTTGCGATCTGTCTCCGTTGCTGTACGAGTCTGCTTTCTGCAGTGCCAGGCATAAACGGGCCATTTTGTCCACAACTGCCCGGGAATCGCTGACCTGAAAAAGCTGTGTCTCGTTAGAAGAAGTGTTGTGGCTTATGTGCTCTGGAACTTGCACGCATGTCCATATTCGGACGACTGCATGGAGTCTGCGTAGCAATTTGGTTTCGGGCACATCCCCGACTCTGTGACAGCGTTGGCCTTCTGTTGAACGCTCGCGACATCAACATCCCTCCCCTACTCCCTTCCCCCTGCCGCACTTGCCTTTTCTACTTTTTGCTTAAGACCCCCCGAATATTATCTCTTTTTTTTTTGGGGGTGGGGGGGGGGGGGGTGTTCTTCAGCAATTTGCAGTTTTCCTCTCCCGCTTAGGAGCCGGACCTTCTGCAGCGAGATGCGAAGGAACAGGCCGTTCGGTCTGCCACAGTGGGGCTGGCAACCGTCATGTCCCAGTTTGTGGATGAGGCTGGGCGCCACACACTGGGCTGAGTCACCACGTCTTTCAAGCGAAGCCCTCTACTCTAGACGTATTTCACCCACATACTCCCACATCTCCTGTTGGCTTGTAGTTCTGGAGGGCCACATCGAAGTGACGTCACACTGATACGTGGACCGTGTGGTACTAAGGATAAAGCGACCCACACCATGATTCGCGCTTGAACGTTTCTGTTCGTACCGCAGATTTGACAGAGAGCTCCCCCCAATCTCGGCTGCTTGAAAGTGTTTTCGAACATGCGTTCCGCCCTCAACCCTAAACCCTAGACCCTAAACCCTAAACCGGGCCTTTTGGTCCTCACCACAAAGATTGGCTTCGGCATCAATGACGGCACGGAGAACTATGACACCACCACGATCTCCAAGGACCTCCTGGGCCCCTATTCTCCTCTCAAGGCGCCATGGCTTCAACTTGCTTCCGAAGGTCAGATACATATGATATACATGGAAACATATATATATATATATGTGTGTGTGTGTGTACTTGTAGAATGAAAGAATATATACTTCTTCTTCTCATTAGTAGTAGTTGTTATGATTATGACTAGTCAGTACACATGTATATATATATATGTTACATGTAAAAATAACACATCGAAGACGCATACTAATTGTGCTCTCTCCCTCTCTCTCTCTCTCTCTACCTCTCTCTACCTCTCTCCCTCTCCCTCTCCCTCTCTCTCTCGCGCTCTCTCGCTGTCTCGCTCTCTCGCTGTCTCGCTCTCTCGCTCTCTCGCTCTCGCTCTCTCTCTATCTATCCAAGCCTGATCAAACCGGGAAACCCTTTCTGCTAGCATGAGCCCCGATGAGGATCGCTGGTTGCTGGACATCCATCACTACTTCAACTGGCCATCCATGTGCAACGTCTACGGCGCAGAGGAGAGCTACATCTCCGTGCCCTGCGTGTGCGAGGTCGGCGAGCGCAAATGCAGTAGTTCAAGTCCCCATGCGGGCGTAGCTCGGGCAATCTGGGCAATCTCGTGGTTCACCTTCAAGATGATACACAACCTCAAACCCCTTCTTGCATTTGCTGTAGTCATCTGAGACCGCTGCGTCCTTAGGGCACCACATGATCATGCTGGTAGAAGGCCAACGTGCCCAACACCACGCACCAGTATGAGCAGCACGCCTGGTCGGGCTTCATGAAGATGGGGCTGCTGGACAAGGGGCACCTTCGATCAAGAACAAAGTTGGGATGCAAGTCTTGTGGAGGTTCCCTCTTGATGATCCAGAAGAAAAGTGATTTTCTGCACTGTGCACTTTGAGTTCATTTGCAAGTTTCAGGTGCTTCCCGGCACAGGGTAGGCTCTTGCTCTTTGGCCATCGCCTTGCATCCGCCGCTCAGGTACAGACTCTACATTGGCGAGTGGAGTGCAGGGCTGCAGGTGGCCTCCTAAGACCACCAGTCCTACAGCCTAGAAACCTGAAGTGATTCACAGGAGTTTCCAGAAGCTCTCAAGTGGAGAAGGTAGCTTTCCGATTTTGCCAGCACACCACACGCCTGGCTGAGGTGGCTCGAAATTGCAACAACCCCACCAAGTTGCCGAACCCCAAGCAGGCCCAGGTCATGTGGAGGGCGCAGAAGCTCCTAGGACCAACTCCGTTTAAGATTCTAAGGGTAGTGTTCTGGGCCCTTAATATGGTCTCTGACCTCCCTTGCAAGGGTTCTGGAGTGTGGGCTCTTGGGTTCTGGGGCATTTGTGTGAGGTCGATGGTGTCCAATGGGGCATACTCGAAAACGCCCTTGATAAGCACTTGGCTTGAGCACAGGTTCTCCTTTCTCCGAAACTACCTGCACTACCAGGGCCGGGCAGCACAGAGCCAGTCGTCCTTCTTCGGGGACTACTACTGGGCGGGCCGCAGCTTGGATACGACTTGGCCACGGAACTCGGCAGGGAGGAACGTATTCGTAGACCACGCGAGGTTTAGGAAAGGTTAGGGTTTAGGGTTTAGGGTCACTAGACATCAATCTAAGTGGGTTGACACGACAGTCTCCTTGAGCGTCGGCTTCTCTTTTGTCAGGCATGGGCCACAACTGGAATGCAGACCCATCGGTGTGCTGCTGTCACGAGGACACTGGTTGTTGTTTTGTTCTCGTTGTTCCAGCAAACCTCAAGCCTGGCTGAGCCATGCACGGGATATGATGGCAATGAGCGGCAGCTGTCGTTTGTCAGGCCGCCTTTGTGAAAGCACGAGAAACCAACCGCATGCGGCTGTTCTGGGAAAGCAAGGTTCAAGATCAACAAGCATGGCGCTGAAGTTTTCTCAATCGGGTTTTGATTTGGACATGGTGCGGTTGAAAGGCGAGGTGCAAGCTTTGACTCCAGTGGTCAGCGCCACACGCAGGCGCTTGTATTGGTAATGAAAAAGCAGCCCGCTTCCACATGACGCGATGATATCGGGAATGGCATCAGAAAGCATGAAGCCACCAGTTCTGGGATTTCAATAGGAAGTCCATCATTAGCTTGCGCGGCTACCAAGCTTGGTATGATTGCTTGGAGGTTCATGGGGTACTTAGATCCCACGTATAAGCCCCTCTGACTCCCCCTAAGTAGGAGAAAAGTACAGGTTTCCTGGGGTTATAAGTGCCCTAAACCCTAAACCCTAAACCCTAAACCCTAAACCCTAAACCCTAAGCCCTAAACCCTAAACCCGAAACCGCAAACCGAACCTCCAAGTACATGGGCAGACTCAGACCCGAAGCCCATGCACCTGGGAAGGCGCCTGACCTCGCGGGTTCTCGGTTTCTTCTTCTTTTTTTGGTGAGGGGTGGGGATCTTACTGGAATCCTACTATGATCATACGATGTCTTGTATATATGTATATATACACATATGTTTTTTGTTTAATGCTTTTTTTGGTTTTTGAACACACATATATATATATATAGGTTACCCCCAAAAGGGTTCAGAATTTGGATATCCCGCCGCATGGAAGCACCGCGCAAGGATTCTGACTGGGTAGATTTCGAGTGGTGGGATTGGAGCCTGATCAACCTCATCAGGCCGCTGAGCTTTTTTTGGTTTAGGGTTTAGGGTTTAGGGTTTAGGGTTTAGGGTTTAGGGTTTAGGGTTTAGGGTTTAGGGGTAGGGTTTAGGGTTTCGGGCTTAGGGTTTAGGGTTTCGGGTTTAGGCGCGCTAGTGAGCGAGTCTGGGTTGACGGTTGACAAGGCGCACTAGTGAGAGCTATGTATCTACATGGTTTAAAAAATCTTGTGGATATCACCTCTATGTGCACATATAGGCAGTCTCTTCAAGACACAACCAAAGCGCAAGTTTCGCAGGCTGGGCTTGGCCAAGAAGCTCTCGCAGATGGGGTGGACGCCAGAGAGCCTCGAAACTTACGATGCGAGGCTCTTCAGTAGAGTTTTTTGTTGGAGTCATCGTTTTCTCATGGCTGAAGTCCTGCTGGTATTGATCTAGGGTTTGGGGTGCAAGTTCGTTTGTGCTTTCGCAGCCTGCCCCTCAAGCGGCAAATGCCCTGAAAGCCTCCGGGGCAAGCGAGGAAGAGGATGTGTGTGTGGGCTCCTTCCAGATCAACTGCGGGCCCTTCTGAAACAGAGGAAGTCGTTGAGTTGAAGGATTCTTGACTCGGGCTTGCGCAGCCCGAGAGCCGCCGCAGCAAGTGAGAAGCTCATCGGCTGCTTCAGAGCAAGAATGGAACATTGCACTTCTCGAAACCTCCCGGACCCGTGCATCCTGTAGCCCTAAGCTCAGAAGCTCAAGGATGCAAAAAGAAGTTGCAACGATATCCTTGCCGTGGCTTCTCAGAGCATGTCTCAGCATGAAGCTTACAGCACGGCCTCTCTTGAGCCGCAATAGGCAGGATGAGGCCCGTTTGCATGCCGGAGAGGCCTCGAAGGCATATCTCCGAAGTCGGTTTTAATTGATCTTTTGGCATGCTGCACACGTCGGCACCCAATTAATTCAAGGTACTGGTACTCCTAGGGCTGCGATAGCGCAAGGCCATGGATCTAGGCTGCACACGACTGCATGACATGTAGTCAGGCGCAGAAGGGTCGCTGAGTGATGTCTGGGTTTGGGCGGTTGAGGGCTTACGTGGCGAATGAACGAAGGGAGGCCAGGCCATACACCCAAAACCTGTCAACCTGTCGCACTCGCATGGCTGGTGCAAGCTCTCAGTCTTCTAGATGCTGTGTGTAAGTCTTTTTGCCTTATATGGCTAACTTGCAATTTTTTCTTATGCCAGGGAATGGAATGATTCTGGAAAAGTGGGGGGTCTTGGGCTATGGAATCCTGGGGTAAGGGATCGGTGCAGTGAGAGGTACCTGGCGGCGGCGTTCGACGATGGAAGACGCTGGGCAGACCATGAAACGGCCCCCCCCCCCCCCCCCCCAAACCTCCCGATGTCGGAAAAAAGCGGTGACGAGCTGTAGGTTGATGAGGCTCTTTGAAACCTTCTCCTATAGAACCCAGAGGTCACATTCCTACACCTAAACCCTAAGCCCTAAGCCCTAAGCCCAAAACCCTAAACCCATGGGTCAAGACTCCTTACACCGACGAAGCCTCAAGCTGGAGCCGAGGCTTGGTTCTCTATGCCTCACAAGGCCCGGGGCGGCTTTGAAAGGGCCCCCTAGAGAGAGTCTGTTTCGGGAGGAGCTGCCGGTGGCACCTAGGAGGGCCTAGGATAGATCCGTTAACTCACCTCCGACTCGCCGCTCGAGAATGCATCGAATTACCAGCCCCAGCAAGTCTGGTGTCATGTGCTATGTGTTCAAGATGAAGGTCGATTCAAATCGTCAAGTATTGTTGCTTTTCAGTTGCTGTGCTTCTGTGCTTCTCCTATCCCATTCCGCTCCCCTCGCCTCCCCTCCCCTCCCCTCCCCTCTTCTTTTACCGTCCCCTCCCCTTCCCTTCCCAATCCCCTTGCCCCTCCCCTTCCCCTTCCCCTTCCCCTTGTCCTTCCTTGCCCCATGCCCTGCCCTTGCCCTTCCTGCTCCCCCTCCCTCTCCCTGCCTCCCTCTCTCCCTCGTTCCCTCGCTCCCTCGCTCCCTCGCTCTCTCCTCTCTCCTCTCTCCTCTCTCCTCTCTCCTCTCTCCTCTCTCCTCTCTCCTCTCTCCTCTCTCCCCTCGCCCTCGCTCTCGCTCTCTCTTTCTCTGTTTCTCTCTCTGTTTCTCCGTCTCTGTCGATCTCTTGTAGTCACACTCAAAAACCGGCACGGCACTGAGCCCAATTTGAAGCGAGGTTCCGCGGCGCCGCTGCCGCTGCAGACCTGGCAGCTGGGCGAGGCCACTGCTTGTGCTGATTGCGTTTTGCACGGTTCAGGGTCTGGGGTTCAAAAGGCTTAGGGTTTGGGGTTGTGTACAAAACTCCTCTGTTACAAGATGGTTTAGGGAGGCTTCAACGTTTGGGGGTTCAGTGGGTCGCTTCATGCGTGTGACGCGAGCCCAGGAAGATGGACAGGCATCTTATGACAGCTGTGGCTCTGGATTTTGGCCTGGCGTGTTTGGATCCTTTTTTTTTCTCAACAGAGCGGCAGTGCGCTAAAACAAGTACAAAGGCCTTCCCATGGTAGCACAGAACCAGAATCCTTGGAAAACGGAGGCACTTGCCAACCCGATTGCAAGCGGTCACCAACTGCCTGATTATTTGCTTATATGGCATCAGAAATTCGCTTCTCGAAGGATGCATGAGAGGGGTCCCAACAGGGCACGGAGGGATCATGCAAGGCTTGCATGGCTGCTTCAGCGTCTGCCCTAACACCTAGCAGTAGAGTAGATACCTTGACCCTTGAACCTCTTGGGGGCATTTCCCTAAACCCCAAACCCTGCGGAGCGGGTGCTGATGTGCGCGCAGTGCGGGTGGCGAAACGCTGTAGAATACCCAAGGTTAACCTTTGGTCTTAGGATATTCCGGCTGGGTTTTCTGGAATTAAGACATTTGAGGTTGCTTGTTCTCTTAACTTAAGTCTTCTAGGCTACTGGACAGTTCAGAACATGTCCCAGAGACCATGCCTGGGTCCTTGTTGGCTATATTGTTACCTTTTTGTCATATTGAAACCCCCAAGAAGGAACCAAAATGATAATTTCACATTCCTGTCATGTTAAATTCCCAAGAAGGAAGAAAAATGATAATTTTTGATATTCCCCCCAACAAGGAAGCAGAGGCTCCGCTAAGCTCCGCAGATGCCAAAATCCCGTGGAGGTCACGGCGGTGGCGCTGGCAGGTGAAGCCCTGATCGTGGCAGGCACGCCACCGACCCAAGATATGTATATGTATATGTACATGCATATATATATATAACTAAGTTCGGTATAAATATATATGTATATATATATATATATATGTTCGGAGGGTGTTAGCTACGTGGGTGGCTAAAAAAAGGTTCTGGGTTCTCCATAGAGCTTATATTCAGATTTTGGAAGGGCAGTGTACAGAGCTGGCGCGGTCGTCGGATGACATGCACGGCTGTATCTCAAGCAGATGGTATTTGCATCCTAGACGGCTTCTAAAGCCTCCTACAGCTTAGCAAACCCTAAACCCTAAGCCCTAAACCCTAAACCCTAAACCCCTAAACCCTAAACCGATGAAAGATGAAGAGGAACTCGTGATGGCCGGCTGCTGCTTGCTGGCCCTGGCGGGCAGCTTCGCTCCTTGGAGAAGGGGCGCCTGAGCGACATAAAGGTGCTTCTCTCGGGAGTTTTCGGGACTTCTTCCCTCCATTTAGGGTTTAGGGTTTAGGGTTTAGGGTTTAGGGTTTAGGGTTTAGGGGGATCTGTTTCAGGATTTTTCAGGATCTGGTTGCCAGTCAGAGATGTTTGGGTCTGCAAGCAGTTCTTGCTATAAGGCCACGCTGGATACCGAGTGAGAGAACACGCAGCCCCAGAAGGCCCTCACCAACCTCAACGCTAGAAGCCCTGTAGACCCTAATGCCCAAGCTCTCCAAAGCAAAGGCACGGTCCAGCGGCAGTCACGACGCTGCTCTTGAGCCCTGCGACCGATGGTTTGGGAGGCCGGTGTGACAGATTTCTCAATCTCTAGGCAAGAATATTTCTGGTAATCATAACAATAATAGTAATATCAATAATAATAGTAATAATAATCACAAAATATTAATAATATGAATCGTATTAACAATAGTAATAATAAAAATCATAGGTACGACTCCTTCAATCCTTCCAGCCCGAGGGCCCTAAGACGTCGATGCGTCCTTCTCGTGAAACAAGCTCAACCTTAACCCCCCCCCCAGCCAGCTCAGTGCCAGGTGGGTGGGAGATACAACAAAGCTGAGCCCGAAACTTCTTCAAGCCATATAAGAACAGAAGTTGTTGCCCGAGGTGTCCGCAAGGGTCGCACGAAAAAGACCCGACAGAAAGACCCAACAAACACACCCGGCAAAAAGACCCAACAAAAAGACCCAACAGAAGAACCAACCAAAAAGACCCCAACCAGATAAACACAAAACAACAAAGGCCCCCTAAAACCAACCACCTTTCACCCCAAGCCGCCTCGGGAGGCATTTTGCTGGAGGAGGGCGCCAGGGGCCCTCGGAGCTTATTCTCGGCGGACAGCGCCGGCCGGCTCCGGCGCACCTGGCTCCCGGAGGCCTTAAGGGGCCCTAAAAGAAGGGTTTAGGGTTCAGGGTTCAGGGTTTAGGGTTTAGGGTTTAGGGGGGTGGGACACAGGGATACGGCGCTGAGTAAGGGCACCTCAGGGCTTAGGGTTTAGGCTTTTCTGCCTGAAGGTTCCCGGCCTTCATGCGGACATTAGGAGTTGGAGGAGAAACGGGTCTGGCTTCAGGGGCTTGGGGTTCTTGAGTGGGCAAAGGCCGCGGCGCTACAGCCTGGCACCTCGCAAATCATCACACAGAGACCTGGGTTCAGTGACATGCGATGGTGGGCGGCGTGGGCTCGTCCTGTTCAGTTCAGGTGACTCGGGACTTGAGCTATCCGTGTTTGTTGGTTGAGATGAAAAAGAATACCTCATGATGCAAAAAGAAGCTGAATTGGATTGTATCAGCTCCGGGCTATGCA